TAGGGTCCACAAATTTGACTAATAAATACAACTTACATGCCATAATTACTTTATTGCGTCCAATAACATATATTTTGGCATATAACCCATATTTTGGTAGTCAAATTTAGCCTTCAAATTTGAGGACTCTACATTTAGAAAGGACTAAGCGATACTCTTGTAGTAATAGCACACGACTTCTTAAGAAACCAATCAGGGGTTCACACTAGTTTTTTTTTTCTCTTTTGCCGGCAATCTATATATATTTTTATTGGGGGGTATCTATCTGTCTGTTTTATTATACTATACTAAACAACAATCCAAATTAAAAATAGAGAGAATGGCATAATTTTTCGAAAAAATTCTGGCCAGCTACTATGGGTCCCACATAATTAATTAAATTTTAATGGCTCCGATTTAAAACTAAGCCAATCTACCAAACCTCACATGTGACCCAGTCTGGCCAACGCGAAGCCCATCATGCGTTAGCACCATAGATAGTTTCACTATCTATGTATGACACACTTAATCCTTTATCATCCCCTAACGAAAAACTTAATCCTTTATCAACTTAATTTCCTTATTAATTAGCTTGGAAAAAGCATTCATTTAAATCACAAAATACTGTATAAAACATAGATACATAAATGGAAGCAAACACCACAACACCTAATGAAGTCTAGAGGTTTGGAGCTAATTTTAACAAACCTCGATATGTTACATCCAAATTTAATTTAATATTTTGAAGAATATGTCTTAACTATGGATATTTTTTTAGCCGTTGTGAATAATATACGAGAACTGCTCTAAAGCTGCATACTACAAAGCAAATACCCGTCCATTCATCTTTTGGATATTAATATACTGATCAATGTCATGTGCATTTGGCTGGTAATCTTATATTGACTTAATATGATATACAAGTAGCGTACTAAACTATCTACAAGCAAGCAACCATCTCTCTAATGGCTCAAATTTTGATCTTTTACGTTGGACTATTATTATGTATGCAAAGACAACACATCTAACATTTGATCTCAAAAATTAATATTTGTGTCTGTCGAAAACTCCAAATATAGGAAAAGAATACATGTTGCCCAGTTTGTACTAGATTTTTTTAATTCTACTCTCTTTTTGATGGAAGACTCCGTTTTCTTTATTACATGGCTGGTTAATTTGTTAAAAATAAGATAGAGAATCCTGAAAACAGGACTTATTACACTAGTGAAGCACAATCGATAGATTTGTTAGCCTGTCATAATTGTACTTAAATTGTATCGCAACCTAGACAATGTTTTTCGGTGAAGGCATGCATCATGACCAATGAGCTAAAATTTTGTCATTTTCTCTATATGCATCGATGATCTATACCTAGAATTTATTATTTTCATTACATCCTTTTCTCCAAGTGACTACATACGTTCACTCCAATAGGGTATATTGACATATCCACACAGGAAGTGGTGAAGTTGCGTACATGATCAAAATCATGCAAATTATTTAGTTCAATTTTTATGATTTTTTATGAAATTAATGGCTATAATTTAGCAAGAGATTAGTACCAGCATATAATCATGAAATCAAGTTCTGTGGGTCATGTGCCGATGTAGTTTGTGTCTAATACAGACGTGAAAAGGAACTTGCAAAGTTGATTGCCGGTATTTTTATTCAACTTGGAGTGTGTCTTATTAAGACGCATGTCCAAGTCAAACTATGTATACCTGGATGTGCCTCAATAAGACATATGCTATAGCCTAAAAAGGAAATGTTATATGTGATTCAAAATAGACGCCGTTCTACAAAATCATAGGGAGGAGGGGATAAAAGGGATATATTTATTCAAACTAAAAAAAATCCTCTTTTGCAAATTAGAAGCCTTTGAATACTTGGACTTAAACTGATCTAACTTAGGGTATCAACATAAAGAACCAATGAAAATAGAATAATATGCATTGAAAAGTATTTGTTCATTTGTGCCTTTATCTTTTACGTTTTGGAAGATGTGCATGAACAAATAGAGGTTAATCTTTGCGTTGTGGAGATAATGACCATATCGAAATCATTATGTATTTCAAACTCGCAAGCTGGAATACATTATTTCTATTTTCCTAAGATGACATAACCATCGTCAGGGTGTTGCTTCGCAAGATCCTTCATCTTTATTTGGACACCAACGGCTAACAATATGGAAATTATCTTACTTATCTCACATCGCATCGAAACTATAGGCTAGCTCACAAAATTTGTATATTGGTTTTATTAACTTGAAAAAATACAAATATGGTCATCAATGTAGTACTTTATAAATCAAAATGGGCTAATGGAGGTCGGGCTCCAGGTAATATGGTATTAAAATTTTGTATCTACATCACAAAAAACTAGAAAAAAATTCATAATACACATACGCATGCATACTATGTAGGTGCAATTTTTTAAAACAATATACTTTCATACGTTAAAAAAGAAAAATATGTATTTCAAAATGGGCCGAATTCATTTTGTTGTTAGGCCGAAATTTTGTTTTTTCTGTGTAACATACAAATCACAATGTTTTTTTCCCAAATAACAAATCAAAATATTTTAAAACAAAATTTACATATCTGTACTGAACACATGGAAGTCTTCTTGGAAGTATTTGAATTTTTATAAACTTTGAAATATGATTTTTCTTAAATACATACCTCCTCGGAGCTTGGCAGCCATGAGCACATGCTATTAATAAGTGACATAATAACCATTCATCCAAAAATTAAATATGACTAAATATGTTAAGTGTGCATATGATATCTTAGTTAAGACAACACTACTAGGGAAAAGCCTAGCAGCAGCGCGGGTTTGGGCACCCTCAATAGCGCGGGTACCGGCGCTACTAATAAGGCGCTACAGCTAACGTGTAGCAGTAGCGCGTGTCGACACACGCTACTGTTACACACGAATTGCTGCAGCGCGGTTTTGGGAAGGGCGCTACTGGTATTAGCTGCAGCGCCGTTTCGGTGTAAGCGCTACTGGTAAGCCGGCGCTACTGCTAAATCCCCCCCTCGCTACTACTAGTTTTATTAGTTTTTTTCCCTACAGATTTGTTTTTTATTTGTTTTGCATTTGAATAGGCTTTATACAATAATCTTTAGCATATCATCCACATACAAATGTAATCATAGCATATACATACAATTAGTCTCATCAAATCATGTCATCATCATAATCATCATCCAACACAAAGTGGTCTCGATCTCGTCATCAATCTCGAAAATAGCGATACAAGTCTCGATTACTTGCAAATACATCGTCATCCATCTAAACAATGATATACATGAGAATAGCTATCACTTTGAGTACATGAGTTCGTATCCCTCTCTCGCATTAGCGTGAACCTAAACTAAGTACTGCGTGTCGCTCGGAAACCAAAAACCGGTACACCTTGGCCTTTCACTCCGGCCACTTGTCGTATATATACTCCTGGCGTAGCACTTCTTCGCCATTTATGATCTATGCACCTGCATCGTCACATGAGTCGATGATATGCAACATATATAGTTGAGCAACACAAAGAGACAGACTTGGCAAAAATAGAAACAACATATCATAAGCATAAATAACAAAGTTCATCGTACCCAAATGACCTAACTAGAGTGATTTTCGCTAGTCGAGGAGGACGGTTTAATTACATCACAAATAAAGTTTCACCGTGCATAACTCAAAGTTCTGTCATAAAAGAAACTATGGACTAAACGGACACATTGTCATATATCGACAATCACTCCAGCATGTCGTGCCATCCATCCAAGTCAGGGAGATAGTCATCGAGCTTTGTGAAAGGCTTCATGTCGAGACGCTGAGAGGCTATCCATGTTCGGACGTCTTCCTGCGACATTTGTCCTTCTGCATGGAACATCCCTGTTTTTCCGACGACCTCATTCATGATGATTTGGGCAAGTTCGCGCTGGATGTTATAGAACTCAGCTCGAAGTCGACGATCTATTTGTACTTAGACTTTTCTTTGGCAGCTTCGGCCTCGCAAGCCTCCTTGAATATTTGAAACTGCTCTTCCGTGATTGTCGGACTTTCCTTTACAATCTCGGAGTAGGGTTCCCCGTCGTTGATCTTTGCTTTCACTCGATTTTTCCAGGCGGCCAACGCGTTGCTAAACTTGGTCATGGCGTGTTTGTTTATCTTCTTCATTGCCGGGTCATTGTCTGGATCTTCATAATCCTTCTCATTCCGGCCCGGGAACAAGAATATCTGGTGAAACTTCTTTAGGAGGGAGCTCCTCATATTTTCTATCTTCTTTAGATTCTCATCGTTGATGGTGGCGGTTGTCCGTATGATGCAGCCTATTTGATTGCCGTAGCACGCGCGCGCTTCCTCGGGCGCCTTTGGCTCAAAATTGCCGTTGTCCACCTCCGTGACCACCAGTCTAGTAGTCCTGAGTTTGTTAGGAACCCGTTGCCTCTTCGCTTTCGGTGCTACACCGGATCCGCTCCCCGAGGCAGCACCGGTCTCAGCGCCGGTCTCGATGCCGGTCTGAATCTCAGCGCCGGTGTCAGTCTCAGCACCGGTCTGCGTATCGGTCTCAGCACCGGTCTGCGTGTCGGTCTCAGTCCCCGATGCCGGGCCCAGCAACAACATCTGTTGATCGTCGGTAAAGCT